AAAAAAAAAAAAAAAAAAAGAAATAAATACGAGAATACCCTCTCATTTCTTTTCCCTTCACCTCCAGGTATATTTGTATGTATGTGAATACACTTGCCCAACATGTATGAATGTAACAGCGGAATGGGTAGAGAATAAGAAGAGGAGAAGCAGGTATTTTCAATCTAATTGTGTAATCCAAATTCCTGATGGATTCCCTCCTTTCTTTTCTTTTTTTTCATCTTTTCTTTTTTCATTTTTTCTTTTTTCATGTTTTCTTCTTCTTGTTCTTCTTCTCTTCGTCTTTGTTTGGAATTACGCCACCGTCTTGGACACAATCGCCGGTCTTTTAAGCATCGCCAATGCATCTGTTGTTTGCTCCACAGTTTCTCCACTCTTCTTCTCTCCTCCTATTTCACTATTATTATTATTATTATTATTATTCTCAGCTGCTGCTGTTGCCTTCTTTCGCTGTGAGGCGAGTACAGGTGCGGGAATATCCCACGTCTCTGTTCCCATCACACGCATTGTGTAGAAGAAGAGACCAATACTGAGTAATCCAAGTGTGATTCCAATATAATTCGCATACCGCCGCTCATCTCCATAAAGCCAATCACGATACATACCAGTCTCATCAAATGTACCCTCACTTTGTGTTTCTCGTAGACGATAATCTTTTCCTCCCGCTACATTAGCGATGAGATTGGCATTTTTCCATCGAACACTGTTATTTAGTTTATGTGCCGTTTTATATACAGGGAGACTGTGGGCCACAGGAGGACCTTTGCGGGCATTACGTTCTCCCGGTTTAAGATCCAACGGTCCTTCAAATAACTCCTTGCGAAATCCACGCCGCTGTTCACATAAAGCCGCTGCTGCTGTTGTTGTTGTTGTTGAATTCACTGTAATGATATGAGAGATGGACATTTTCATGGTTATTCTGGTCATTGCAGAGATGGTTGTGGTGGCACCTTGACGAATACCAATCTTTCTATCAACAGCCATTTGGCTCTTCTTCATATTATTATTATTATTATTAATATTGATATTGCGGTGATAATGGTGGTAGTTACCACTACTATTACTATCACTATCGCTATGGCTGTTTTTATTTCTATATACGGGATGCCGCATGGCTGCGAGGATGCAAGCAGCTGTGTAGGGTGCCTGACGATACATACGCTTCATTTGTGTTTTTTTTTTCTTTTTCTTTTCTCTTTTTCCTTATCGTTATTACTATGTAAACACAAATAAATCAATAAATAAAAAGAAGACCAGAGAATTTCTCCTTGTTGCTTTTTTTTGTTTCCAGCTTATCTATCTATTTTCGTCCTTCTTCTTCCTCTATCCGCTCTATTCCCCTCTGAAAAATATAAGAAGAAAAGAAAAGAAAAGAGTTATTATGGCTATATATATATATATATATAT